TTTTACACTGTCGGTGGGAGTGTAAATTAGTTTAACCATTGTAGAAGACAGTGTGGCAATTCCTCAAGGATTTAGAACTGGAAATACCATTTGACTTAGCCACCCATTAGTGGGTATATACCCAAAGGATATAAATTTTTCTACTATAAAGACATATGCACACATATGTTTATTATAGCACTGTTCACAATAGCAAAGACTTGGAACCAACCCAAATGCCAATCAATGATAGACTGGATAGAGAAAATGTGGCACATATACACCATGGAATACTATGAAACCATAAAATAGGATGAGTTGGATGAGTTCATGTCCTTTGCAGGGACGTGGATGAAGCTGGAAACCATCATTTTCACCGAACTAACACAAGAACAGAAAACCAAATACTACATGTTCTCACTCATAAGTGGGAGTTGAACAATGAGAACACATGGACACAGGGAGGGGAACATCATACACTGGGCCTGTCAGGGGGTGGAGGACTAGGGGTGGATTATTAGCATTAGGAGAAATACCTAATGTAGATGACGGGTTGATGGGTGCACCAAACCACCATGGCACGTGTATACCTATGCTACAAACCTGTACGTTATGCACATGTATCCCAGAATTTAAAGTATAATAAAAAAGTATGTTAAAAAGTAAAACAATGTATCTTTATAAGCCATATAGCAGTCAAATCTAGAAAGAGAAGAAGTACAATTTCTCAAGACAAGAACCAGATGAGTATCATCTCAAAACCTATAAGTGCTTTTTTCCAATCTCCAGTATATTTATAGATTTTTTTTACACAAAAGCAGTTTAGTTTCCAGATTAGAAGAACAAAAATCTCCGCCAGAAAGATAACTCCCTTCTTATTAGTGGTTTAATTTTTTAAAAGACTAGGTTTCATTCCTGTGCGTTGGATTGCAGAACAACTGAGTGGTGGGGGCGTATTTTGAGAGGGAGAAAAATTGTATGGGAAAACAGCAAATTCCTTACCTGGAGTTCCTACTTTACCACTTGAATTTACACCTTCAGTCATCATAAAGATTATCATGGGGAGAATTTCAAAATTTCTTGTTGCGTTTTGATTTATTAAGAGGGCAAGATGAGCAAAATGAAGTTGTAAAAAAATTTGTAGAAATGCTTACCCATTTGGATTTGGCTAGGATTTTCTCTTGTTTAACTTTTTTAGGGAAAGATTTATGAATCTTGAGTTATCAGCTTAAAATGCTGTATACCGATCCATGGGTTAGACATGAAACTTTCACCTTTATAGCAACTTTAAGTAAGTGTTTAGGCCCGAAATACTTTGATTTGAACTAAAAAATAGTATGGAGAATTATGGAGAATCCTTCCTCAAATCTTTGGAAGTTGATTGCTGTTGTATTTATGTAAACATAACACAAAGACTTTGGACTTGTACAGACAGCAGCCCTGGAAGAATATATTTAATTTAGAATTATTGCACCAACAAATGAGTTACTCGATGAATGAAAGTATACCATGGTATAAATAACACATAATTTGCTAAATAGTCAACTTCTGTGTATATTGATAGAAAGATTAGAATAATACTTAGCAGCAAACATAGTTGTTTGGGTAATATTTCCTATTTCTCTCTACCAAGAAATTGGTGAAACTCACCCGTGTCAAGTCCAGGGAAGTGTTTCTGTCATGGTGTTCTTTGTATGGTCTTTTGTTGTCCTGGCGTGATATCTAAAGCAAATTTTCTGACTTCCACTTTGATAGAAGCTAGGTTTAGAGAGCCATTGCGGGTTTTATTTCAGTCTATTTCTGCAATTTCTTAGTTTCTCAAATATATTCCTATGGTTCTACTTCACATTTTGTCTAATTTTGTTTTACAGGTGTAAGGGATGCCAGAAGTCATGGGATTTTCTCTCCTCTAGTATGTGTTTGGGAAAAGGTTATGGCTGCCCTAGGTGAAATGATTTCTCTGTGCTATTCACGCAAACATTTCAGGTTAGAAGTCCTGCTCTGACTCTTTTTGGAGAAAGAAATGCCATCTAGGTTGAGGTCATGGAACACAATGGGCTGCCATATTTAAGAAAACATTAAATCTATCTTCCCTTCATGCATTACTATTAAATTATCAGTGTTTTGCTATTTACCTAGTTTACTCTAATATGTGTGGTAAGATGACATCTACAGAAATTAGTATATTTTTAAATAAAAGAGCCAAATTATGTAAATATTTGTAAGTAGTAAGAGGCAGCATGAACATGAAATCTGAAACCTTTAGTATCTGCAACAGGATTCATTCTTTCTTTAAACTCAGTTCTTGTTCCAACACATCGATACCCATTCTTTCTGCCCATATGGTTTTTTTTTCTTTTACCCTAACTGTTTTCTTTTCTACTTCCCAGAATAAGTAGATAACATATAGCTCTTTGGCCCCAGGCCAAAACTTTGAAACTTTCAACTTTTACATCCTGTTTGGAAATCTTACCTTAGAAGATTTTATTGAGAATAGCCCCTTAAAGGAGTTATACTAATGGGGGCTATGCTTTAAAAGATTTTTTGGAATTATTAAACTTAAAAATTAAAATGTTTTATATTAATTTAAATGATATATTTTCAAAGAGAGAGGTCACGTCGACTCCATAGAAAGTCAAAT